CATGTCGTTCGAATGGACACCGACGCTCCAGCTCTGAAAGTATTCAACTCGGAACCCGCTGGTGGTAGCAGAGGAAGAGGGAGGCCCCCACTGCGATGGAAAGATCAGGTGGAGAAGGACTTGGCTTCACTTGGCGTTTCCAATTGGCGTCAGTTGGCACAGAGGAGAAACGACTGGCGTGCTTTGCTGAACTCGGCCAAAATCGCTTAGGCGGTTACAGCGCCAAAAAAGAAGAAGAAGAGAATGTCATTTTAACTTTTTCGCAAAACGGAGACTTTCAAAAATCATTGCAAATAGTAAAAGTAATATTGGAAAATGTATTTGGCGTTCAGAAAAATATTTGCTCATCATTGGAAATAAACTGTAACAATTTGAAATCTGTCACTCGTAATCATCAAAAATGTAATATTTCAAGTTCTTTTCTATTTTGAACTTTCAGCAATTACTAAACTGTTCTTGTTTGTTTATATACATATTAACAGCCCGATTCTGTGCACTTGATAAATTGAAAATCTTTATAATTTGTCAATTTTTTATTATTTATCAAGAATTAGTATTCAATCACAGAAATCAAAAGCTCTTTTCTTGATAAATTATCAAGATTGAAAATGCTACTGACAAATTGAAACTTCATGTGAAATGTATAAATTTTATATATTAATAAATTTGTTTCTAACAATTAAATACTCCATGTGCCGGCATTTGAACTTGCTACACACGGAATTATAGTCGACATCTCTACCTACTCGGCTACGGCAGTCAAAAGCCTTTTTGCTTTTAAATTCATATTTTTTATATGTGAAAATGAAATCAGTTCCACTAATGTGGAAATCAGTTCCACTAATGTGGAAATCAGTTCCACTAATGTGGAAATCGTAGAGCTTTTTGTTTTATAAATATTGACACAGAATGCGAAGGGAGCTTTTACTTGATAAAAATCTTGATAAAATTTCCTTACAAAAAATGTATCAAGAAAACACAGAATTGGGCGGTAATTATACATTAAAGATAAAAATAAGACCTAAGCTGCGTGCCTTTGAAAATATGGAAATATTGTCTGAATAGGTCTTTGCGTGAATGGCTTCAAAATTTCCCTTTTTTTGATGGCAAACTGACAGACTAAAACATATCAGGTTGGCATTAAGCGTGGTCGTTAGATAGCATTCCTCACAAAGTTCGTTGCAAACGCTAAATACATAAAATAGTTTTCGTCTAAAATACGGCAACGAATTTGTATGTATGTATGTATGTATATAAGGATTTTCAGATCTTTGGGCAATGCAGTTAACGAATTTTTAAATATTTACTCAAAAATGGTATTTCCAATGGATTAGTTTTTCGTAAAATTTTTTGGAAACTGGGCGTGGCCCGCCCACTTAGGTCAAATGTTTGTATCTCGAAAACCACTTCACCAATCTGTACCAAATTTGATATACACATTGCGCCTGACCTTATTAAATACTGTTTTAAAAATTTTTGAAATCGGACAAAAACTACGCCCTCTAGAAGTATCGCTAATATTCAGTTTTCAAAAATTATAGTTGTTTACTTATAACTCTTTAAGCATTTGAGAAAAATGAATCACACAAGCATTTAATGTTTCCTCAATGGATTTCAAACAATTGATGTATAATTTATTTGTGTGCGTTCAATTTAAAAATTTAAATTTTTTTTAGCGTTGTATCGCATGGTTCCGAAGATTTGCCCATATATTGAGCATTAAAGGAGACCTACGTACGATTCTGCATGATTTAGTCGGAAATTCCACATTATATCACTACAGTTAAAAAAAGGGGGCTAACTGCCGTAGAAATATTGAACTTTTTTCTCATTGTAGAAATGGGAAAATCTATCAAACGTTAATTTTTATCTATGATAGGCCTACAAACGTTTGTGATATTCTAAATAATATTACAATAATAAGGTTACAAGGTCTTATCAAGCATATTGTGTAAAAGACTGAAGCCGACCGTCAACGAACTGATTGGGCCTTATCAGTGTCGCTTTAGACCTTTCAAATCCACCACAGACCAGGTATTCAGCATACACAAAATTTTGGAAAAGATCCGCGAGAAAAGGATCGACACTCACCACCTATTTGTAGACTTCAAAGCCGCTTTCGACAGCACTAAAAGGAGTTGCCTATGTATATACCGCGATGTCTGAATTTGGCAGCCCCACGAAACTGATACGGCTGTTTAAAATAGCGTTGAGCAATAGCACTAGCTCCGTCAGAATTGGGAAAAATCTCTCCGAGCCGTTTGCTACCAAAAACAGTTTCAGACAGGGCGACTCCCTTTCATGTGATTTCTTTAATCTGATCTTGGAGAAGATAATAAGAGCTGCCGAACTGAACCGCCCAGGAAAAATTGTTTACAAGAGCCAGCAATTGGCGTATGCCGATGACATCTACATCATCGGTAAGTCTGCTCTGCCTTTTCCAAGTTGGATAAAGAAGCAAGGCGATTAGATTTGATAGTAAACGAGGACAAGACGAAGTATCTCCTGTCATGAAAAAGTCAGTCAGCGCATTCGCGCCTTAGCATTCATTGTTGACAGTTATAATTTCTAGAAAGTAGAGAATTGGGAACCAGTATTAATAATAATTTCAACATAGAAATTGAATACAGAATCACTCTTGCCAACAAGTTGATATGATTTCCTCCTTTTTTTGAAGTCGGTTAATAACAAAGAAATTTTGGTGCCGTTTTGTTTTGAAAGGTAAATAAAAGGTCGGTGAACATTTTCAGCGTATAATATCAGAATTGGCAAATATTGTCCAACCCCCAGAAAACCAGAATTTTTTACTTTTACTTTCAAGTGCTCATATAAATATTGTGCTACCAAGCAAACCAACCATGATATCTGGCTGTATATCTCCGGATGTCCAGAAAAATATAACACATTTTTTGTAATTCTTTCTATTGTTCACATCTCGTGGTGTTTGGGAGCTCTTTGTCGAAATAAACATAACATACACAAGCAATATCTAAGAAGGGAAGTACTCCAACCCATGTGAGATCCAGGTGAAATTGAATCAGCAAATGAATCTAAAAACCAGTGCGTTTCATATTTTAAAAACGCAGATCAAAGCGGTAACACCCAATGTTGAATTTAAAGAGTCATTGAATGCAATTCACTCGCAATCGAATCGAAGAACCTGAATAAATAAATAATAAATATTTAAGTTGTTACAACGAAATATTTCTATTAAGATCGGACAGTGATCATCAAGTGGAAGGATTCAATCACGTCATTTGATTGTAAAACGATATTTGTAAAAATTTCTTTTTGTTAGCATATCTATTAATGGGTGTCAAATGGCTCTGAGGGATGATTATTTGCATATAGTACATACAAGTGAATAAGTTATACTTACGGTTATTATGTTACCACAATCACGCATTAGAAGTTCTAATGCGCTTGGATGTTCCGGCTCCACAGACTGCGCTACATCGATGATCCAACACTTCTTATCGTGCCATAGGATATTGTACTCACTCAGATCGGCATGTATCAACTTTGCTTGGTTATAAAGCTTGTGCATCACTGTAATTATTTCTTCATAGGCATAACTCAATTCCCACGAACTTAGTCGTGCATCTTTAAGTTTTGGTGCCGCATTATGATTATTGCCAATGAAAGACATTACTAACACGTGCTTTTTTAAAACAACCACGTCTGGGCAGTTTATACCGACTCTTTGCATGCGCATAATATTATGCATTTCCTTTTCCGCCCACATGTTTATGATAACACGCTTATTTTGTTTACTAAAACGATCTTTAAATCGATAATCATCCTTTATATACCGATCCCGTTGCTTAAACCCGTTTAGAGTAGTTTTGAATATTTTAATAGCACATTCTTTGGGTAATAATTGAGGAGAGCATATGGTTCTATTATATTCATTAACATTTTCAGCATAGCCAGCATCGGAATTGGCATGTAGAATTACTGCCTCTTTGCCTGTCGATATAATACCATTTATTTGTTCCAAAATTTGGTTATTTATTAATTTATAAAGCAGCAGACGAGTGGGTGCGTCTACACCCGCTTCAGCCGTAGCCACATTGGCTTTCCTGTCATGCATTTTATTTTTCTTAGCACCTCGACGTGAATATGTTTTCAATTGGTTATAAACCTGGAATATATGTATTTATAAATGAATATTAAATGAGTTGGTTTGACAAAGTTCATTTTATTAAATCGTACTTTATTAGAGAAATATCACATTACTTGTTTATAACTTAACTAGCAGAAACCGCGAACTTCGACCCGCACAAAATTTCTTTCTTTACTCAAATATTTGGTACTAAGTGTTCACCACAACAAACCCACAGTTCACATTTGGTTTTGTGGTCGTCAGAAAGCATATCCTCCATTGCCGTCTTAAATAACCTAACGAAAGCGTTATGTCCGTGAAGAAGTTTTTTCGGAAACAATGATCCGGCTCGATTATGAATCGTCCTTGAATCTGTATAGAAAAGGTGGTGGCAAATTTAAAATGAGAGAACATCATTGGTCCACAGAAATCCAATATACATAGACTTATTTCAGACGAAATACCATAAATGTCTTACAATTGAATTTGAAGGCATTCATCAAGAATTGTCTTTATTTTGTTTAGTCGCCGTAAAGCAAGGACCGCAATGATTATGGTGGTCGATTTAACGGTGGTAATTTGATTTTGATCCCTGGTGTCTCCGAATGACTTCACTTGACGATTTTTAGCAATAACTCGACTCTAGCGCCACCTTGCGCCTCTTTTTTTCAATAGCATTGCCCCTACCGTTACCAATATACATCTTGTTTATGAGGCAAGTGGGAATATAAATACGAATTTTAGTAATAGCTCGACTACAAAGCCACATGGCGAGCCATTTTTTTCGCAGAAATATTTCCCTTCACGTTACCAATATATATTTTGAATATTAGCCAAATCAGATCATAAATAAGATTTTTAATAACTCGACTCCAGCGCGTTTTAAGTTGTGAACCTAAACTATACAAGGACTTTAGGACAAACATTTCATTAAATGCATTTCGGCCAATTACGAGTTCACTCGAAAACACACGTACCGAAAAATTATATATGTATTTATAGATAGGTAAAAGTTCCAATATGTTTGGAAGGCGCCATGCCCTCTTTACCAATAGCCCCCACTTTTCTACAAGAATACGGGATTGATTTCAAAACCTTCATACCAAGTTCCTGGCCTCTACCACAACGCTTCCAGAAATATGCAGTGGCTATAACCAAAAAAGCCTATTTCAAAAAAAAAACGGTACAGCCGTTCGCGAGATCACTTCTTACAAAAAGGTGGCACTTCTGTTAATACAATTGGTATAGATAATAACTACCGATAAATAGCCAAAACCCGCTTGCCTTGCGACGCCTTAAAACATTTCGAACTGTAAAACAATCATTCAATTCTATTCTATATAATAGCTTGGTTCCTGGTCCATCTATAAGATAAAAGTATCCTATGTGTTCATCGTGTTCTAACATACGAAGTAATCGGAGCAATTCTTTAAGCGCAAGCTCTGCTGAGCAACAGTCAATAACTTTCTGGACAAAAATTGTGCTAACTCATATATTAAGTAACTTAGCATCAATCTGTGTATAGTTACGTGTATACATAAAAACAAATCTCTTATTTGACTTCCTCTGGGAGGAAAGAAAACTTACTTTAATCTGTGAATTCATATTGATATTTGAGGGCTCATAGCACTCCAGCAATCGCTAATTAAAAATGAGTGAACCACCTGATATTGGAAAAAACAAAAACTCACCTCAGCTTTTGACAAAACAAAAAAGTTAAAAATCATTACAACCGGCCCTAAATACATGGTTATTAAAAGAAATCCTGAAACTGAATCACTTGCCAACGTATCACCATTTCTAATTAAAAAATCAATTGACTACACCTACTCAGGTTCAGTCGATTCGTGTAAAAAATTAAGAAACGGTACTCTCTTAATAAAAACGAAAAATCTCGACCAAGCAAAAAAACTAATAACTCTAACCGCAATTACAAATTCAATTAAAGTGGAAGTCTCAGAACATTATTCCCTCAACTACACGAAACGAGCGATATACTCCAATGATCTCCGCGGCATTCCAGAAGAAGAGATACTAAACGAACTCAAGCTTCAAAACGTAGTAGAAGTAAAAAAAAAATCATGAAAAAGTTGGTGAACTGTTAACTAAAACCGGTTTGATAATTCTTACATTCTCCTCCCTCTCCCTACCACGTAGATGTGTCAACTGCTATCGGTTCGGCCATCATGTTCATAAAACAAAAAGAACTCAAATCAATAAAAACAATTGAAAAGGTCGACAAAACAGCAGTTAAAATTTACTCAGAACGTCATGCCCAATCAAATTCAACATACTCCTCCATCCTCCAACGCCCGTGCACCATTCCAACAGACTCAATAACCTCACCAAGCAAAATAAGAAATCCAATAGAAGGGAATAATTCACCACACTGTTCTAACTCAACTCCTACAAAACCAACAACTACTAATCCCACTCATCCAGCTAACAATTCTACCTCGGTTGAAACACACAATAATAATTTGCCACTCGCACACACACAGATGCCCCCTAACACCTCCACTACAATTCAACGCATCTCAGACACAAAATTGAAAATATTTCCGAGAAACATCTCCAACCGCCTTAAATCAGAATTAAAAGCCAAGTCAAATTCTAAACACTCTTCCACATCGGTAAGAGAGCAACAGGAAAATCTCACAACCAACTGGGCACAAACTACAGCGAACGATCTCGAATACGTCGACGACGTAGATATATTCACAACTGAGGAGAACGATATTTAGATTAAAATCCAGATATTAATCATCTAATCTACTTATATATTTAGCTTTATAGTTACATATACATGATGCTTTCCATTTCCAGACAACCGGTCAGGTACGAGCATGATTTTTAATTTCGACCAAACTCAAATACATGTTTGTTGGTCCAAATAATGAGACACGTATTTTTTCTTTTGGCTCGGAAAAATTTTTCGGCCGAATTAAACGCAATTTTTTTTTCAGGCAAAAATCGATTATTCGAATTGACAAGGAGAATTTATTTTTTAAATGCCCATAACTTTGTCAAAATTTAATAGATTCTAACAATGTTTTTACTCAAATGTCAGTAATTCTTGTCACTTCAAGATAAAATGATATAATTATTGATTATCATTATTTAAAATTTTTTATTTAACAATAAACAAAAAGTGCAAATTTTTTTTTAATTTAATTTCTCAAAAAGTGTATTTTTTTCTCTCAAACTTTTTTACCGGGAAAGAGACACTTTGAACTACAATCAACCCAAATCTCTAATAGCGAAGATTTTTTTTTTCTGAGTTATGATTTTTTATAGAAAATATACGGTTTTGTGGTACATACTACAAAATTCTTATATTGTTTAACTAAATGGAACATATGTATGTAATATATCAGCAAAAAGTACAGCCGTGATCATTTTTTGTGTATCAAGTAGATATTAGAACACACTTTCCACAATACAGTTTCGAAATAAAAAATCACATTTTCCCGCTTTGAATAATCGAAACTGTATGGTAGAAAGTGTGTTCTAATATCTATTTGATACACAAAAAATGATCACGGCTGTACTTTTTGCTGATATATTATATACATATGTTCCATTTATCTAAACAATATAAGAATATTGTAGTATGTACCACAAAAACGTATATTTTCTATAAAAAATCATAACTCAGAAAAAAATCTTCGCTATTAGAGATTTGGGTTGATTGTAGTTCAAAGTGTCTCTTTCCCGGTAAAAAAGTTTGAGAAAAAAATACACTTTTCGAGAAATTAAATTTAAAAAAAATTTGCACTTTTTGTTTATTGTTAAATAAAAAATTTTAAATAATGAAAATCAATAATTATATCATTCTATCTTGAAGGGACAAGAATTACTTACATTTGAGTAAAAACATTGTTGGAATCTATTAAATTTTGACAAAGTTATGGGCATTTAAAAAAAAAAAAAATCTCACTATCAATTCGAATAATCGATTTTTGCCTGAAAAACAAAATCGCGTTTAACAGGCTAACCTAATATTCGCGGCTTGCGTTTTGGTACGCACGCCGTCGAATTCGTTTTTTGCGTCGCCCGAAATTGGCTTGCGTGCGTTTGCATTTGATTTCATTGAGCGAAACGTCAAATCAAAATGTCATGCAGAACAAAAATTGGAAATTGAGTTAGCTTCATACGCACGCCGTTCAATTTCGGTTGGTCCCATACAAGTTGTATGTGCATGAGAATTTTTGACAGTAAATTGGCGGCGTGCGTGAATATTAGGTTAGCCTGTAATTCGGCCGAAAAATTTTCACTGTCAATTCGAATAATCGATTTTTGCCTGAAAAACAAAATCGCGTTTAATTCGGCCGAAAAATTTTTCCGAGACAAAAGAAAAAATGCATGTCTCAATATTTGGACCAACAATGTATTTGAGTTTGGTCGAAATTAAAAATCATGCTCGTACCTGACCGGTTGTCTGGAAATGGAAAGCATCACATACATATATATATACGTATATTGTGTTGCTTCATAAACGTTAATAACACTTAGTTTAACGCTTCCTAGTAATGACCCTGACTATCTTGCAATGGAATATAAGAGGTTACATAAATAACTATGCTAATCTACAACAACTCATCAAACGTCATAGCCCCAAAATCGTTGCTTTACAAGAAACACACCTCCATTCAAATTACAACTTCCCCACCCCAATAAATTACCAGATTTATACATATAACTCGGCATCCACCGCATACGGTGGTGTTGCCTTACTAATCCATAACTCATTGCAAAACCAACCACTACCTCTTAACAGTCCCATAGAATCAATAGCAGCAGTAATTCAGTCAAAAGTCAAATTTACAGTTATTAACTCCTACATCCACTTCAAAATTTTACACTCAATAGCCTCCACAGCATTTATTCCGCAACTTCACTCCCTTGCATAATTCTAGGCGATTTTAACAGCTGGCACAGCAAGTGGGGATCACCCGTGAATAATCGCAGGGGTAACACCATATCAAAATTTCTAGATCAGTCTCAACTTTCAACCCTTAACAATGGCTCACCCACCCATTTTTCCACCCGTCACTCCTTTACCCACGTAGACCTCACCCTAGCTTCTACTATCTTGAAACTACAATCAAAGTGGCAAATAGAAAACGATCTTTACGGAAGCGACCACTTCCCAATCATCACCCACCTTTTTCCCTCCCCAAATCATAGTTACCTCTCTCCCCCACCCCGCTTTATAATTAAACACGCAGACTGGCCTACCTATAAAGTTAAAGCTATACATTTCAATTCGATCCGTTAAATTAGCAATAATATTAATAAAGAAGCCGCAAATATACACATAATAATTTTGCAAGCCTCAAACGAAACAATCCCTCAATCCTCAACCCTTAAACGGCCGCAGTATGTACCATGGTGGAATCACAACCTGCAAAAACTCAAAAACGAGAAAAATAAGCTATTTAAATTATTAAAACGTTCTATTACCACTGAAAAGATCTTAAATTACAAAAGGGCTAACTCAACCTTTAAGCGTGAGCTAAGACTAGAAAAAGCTAGAAGTCTTCATAACTTCACTGCGGATATCAATCCAACTACTCCGATCTCAAACGTTTGGACAAACATCAGGCGATTATGTGGGCTTAATACTTCACTAAACATTCACTGCATACAATCTCAAAATAACACAAACACTTACATCACTGACAAATATCTTGTAGCTGACGAGTTTTCCAAATACTGGCCAAAACAAGCTTCGAATACAAACTTTTCTAACACTTTCCAATCAAATAAGAACGCTATTACCCGGGTTCCCCCAGTAGCCATTCCTTCCATTAAATCTCAAATAATCGAAAGAGATATAACCTATTTAGAGATGACCATGGCTCTCAACAAATTAAAAGGAAAAACTCCGGGATCTGACAGAATATCATTCCCCCAAATAAAAAATCTTCCTACTGAAGTAATACTACGACTCCTCCTTCTATACAATAACATTTTCAAACACTATATCCCTCAAACATACAAAACGAGCGCCATCATCCCGATACTCAAACCAAACGAAAATAAATCTCTTTTGAAATCCTATAGACCTATCTCTCTCAACCCCTGCTGCTCCAAAGTCCTGAACAAAATCATCGCCAACCGACTGTGGTGGTTTGTTGATTCTAACAAACTTCTGCACGGTAAACAGATGGGATTTAAGAAAGGCAAATCAGTAGCAGACCCTCTAGTTTACCTAGATTATCTGATTACTGAATCCTTGGCAGACTCAAACCACATTTCACTTATTTCCCTAGATTTTGCTAAAGCCTTCGACAAAATCGGTTTACACAATATAATAGACCAATTAGTACAATGGCGGCTAGGTCCAAACATTATACGGTATGTCATAAATTTCATGACAAATCGGAAAATTAAAGTCCGAATCGGTGACATCTACTCTAAAGTCAATCCTCTAGAAAATGGCATCCCCCAAGGTTAGCCCCTTTCGGTCAGTCTTTTTTTAATTGCTTATAATAAGCTATGCAATATCATTAACCTTCAAAAGGAACTACGATTCTTTGCTTACGCAGACGATTTCTATATAATAAAACCTCTCAATAAGAACAAAAACACAACTATAG